ATTACAATATTCAACAAAAAAGCAATGCACAAGAATAGGTATAAAAATCTATAGAATATTCTTTAATTAAACTTAAAAGTTTTGCAGATCGTTGAATACTAATCTGATGTCGAAGTTGATAAATTTAAAATGACAGAATCAATATAATACATATAATCGAACAAAATAATCGAATTTTTAATTTTGATATGCGTCATATTGGTTCCATCATTTTGAATTTATCAACTTTGACATCAGATTAATATTCAGCGACCTAAAAAAACCCTTTTTGAATCACATAATTAAAAAATATTTCATAGATTCTTAATGGTCTGTATAACTCGCAACTTTAACGCAATTAGACTCTATGTTAATCATCAATATCTTTTTCATTTTTTTGACACAATAAGTTTCTTTTAAAGACGGAAAGTCCTAAGAACATATTAATTGTGATAGCAATAACACTTCTTTAACACGTCACATATCATACTTATAACACCTATGCCAAAATGTACTAAAATAGCTCTTTTTTACAATTTTAACTGCAAATTTCTCAAAATTATGACGTGATAAAGCAATTATTTGGCCAACAGCGTCCAAAAAGCTATAAGAAATGGTTATTCTCGTTCTTGTGCTCGGAAAAAAATAATTTTTTGTTGAACAGTGTTAATAGATATTGATTTGTAGATTAGAAATAAGAGAAAAATACACGGAAAAAGAGCAGCTGCTTCAAGAAATAGAAGATTTGCAACGAGAATATATATCTTCTCAAGAAAAAGTAAGAAAACTGATCTACAAAAACTGGGAATTCAAGCAAGAGATACAGCACTGAAAAATGTTTATGCATCAGAAACAACAATAAGTAAATTAGAAGTCCAAAAATTTATGTTTCTTATCTTTTTATATGCAACAATGCTCCATCAAATCCGATGTTCTCACCACTTCCAAAGTTGTCATCAACATTATTACAGCAAAACTTTATTCCTAGTACCATTACAAGGATCAGTACCATCTCCAGGATTATCATCAGTATTATCTTTCGCAACACAATTATCAACTTCACAAGTAAGTCCTATAAGAAATAAAGTTTGTGGTAGGCGTAAAAATTCAACGTTGTAATTTTTAGAAGAAAAACACAAAGAAATAGAACTTGAAAAACAGAAATTGCAACTAAAACAAGAAAAATTGCAAATTAAAAAACATTTAAATTAGAAAAGAAAGAGCGGGAAACCAAGTTAGAATTAGAAGCAGAAGAAAGAAGACACAGCATTGCTGTAGCATATTAGTAAAAACAATTAATGGAAAAATTATTGCATCTTACCGACAATTCACAGACATAGTTTTAATTATTATTTTGACATTTTATATTTTCCTTGTTCTTTCATTTTTGCATGTTATGTGAACATTTTAAAGACATAATTATAACATTTTAAGTTAAGTTTTTTATTTGTTCTAAAAACATATTTATATATTTTATTAAAATAGATATAAACGTTTTATATCTTTTTAGTATATTTATGCTATAGATAAAATTATTATAATTCAATAAATATAATTTCTCTGTAATATATATATTTTATTACATAATACACATTTATAAATAAACATCAAAGAAAATATTCTTTTAGTATAGGTGGATCAATATTAAAATATTGAGAGCAGTTTGGCTACTGTACAAGTATGTGTGACAATTTGACAGAATTGTTGCTGTTTTATACATTGAAACTATATCTTGAAGCAAAAATTTGTTTTTCTTGAAATCAAGGAATGCAAATTGCATTATTATTTTACTAAAACCCCATTTGATCGCCTGCCTTGCAGAGCTAATTTTTAGGGCAAAGATCTAGTGTTCGGGAGTCATATACTCTACTCGTGTATAGTCTAAGCGATAGTTCGAGGATAGGATAAGCGAAATCTCCATGCAAGACAAAATTAGTATCTGGATATGATGCACACCTTTCTAATTATGTATATAAAAGCGAGTCTCTAAATATGCCTGCAAAGAAAATTTAACATATTATTGACCATATATGCCATAATATTAAATCAGCTACATTTATAGACATATCTGCATCATGTTGTCTATCAGAATATAGTCCATGAAGACTAACTATTATACCATCTGGACATAGTACAGATTAATACTTGATAGAATAATATTCTTGTTGATTCACAGATGGTCTACATATTGCTCGTGCTGTTCCGTCAATAAAGCCCCAGGAATTCCGGACAGATGCTCCTTTTGCTGAAACAGCTTTTTAAAAAATAATAAATAAATTTCTTAAAATAACTTATTATTGTAAATAAAAACATTTAAAATGTTTCTGAACGTTAGAGACCTCTCACCTGTGAATAATATTGGAGCTTATTTCTGTTAAGCTGAACAGAAAGTGGCGTAAAAAATTTTCTAGCTGGTGCGATGTTCAGCTGTTCACGCTCGGTGCATAGAAACTAAGGAAAAACGCCGTCCTAAGCTGTAATTTTATTGTCGGCGCGAGAAACCAAAACGTATACGTGTTTGCAACGGCGGCGCTCGTTCCAGCAACCCAGATCTCCGCGCGATGGAAATATACCGTTAAAACGTGCCACAGGCTTGCAGCCGTTACTCCACGTTCGACGAATCGTTGACTGGCAGGAATCTCCTTCACTTGGTTCCTCTCATTCCGGCTTTCGCGATCGCGGTCCGCCCACAGATCATTTCGCCGCACAATTTCGTGAGGAAGCATATCCGGAATTTCTATATGCGTGAACGATACGATCTATCAAGATAGATCCTATCAAGATCTTAACGATTTTACAGATCATTGAAAATGTGATTAGCGTGCGCCAAATAATAAGATATAACATTAAGAAGGCGTATTTTGTTAACAGCAATTTTTTCACGTTAAAATAAAAGGGCCGGTTGCCCCAACCTGTTGGTAAGCTAACTAATAGTTAGCTCATATGTCTATCTTTGTCTAATTCGAAGAAATACAAAGACATATATATGATTCAACTATTAGTTAGTTTACAAACAGGTTGAAACAACCGGCCCTAAGTAAGAGATGTTGCATGTTTCACGTCAACTGTGCGGCCAGCGTTTCCTTCCTTCTCTCAGATCTGGTTCTATCTATATATGGCGTACATGCATCGTGTGCTACACTAGCAAATTGGCGGCATACTTACTGCCTTCACGCCCGCATATTTGTGGCGCTTGCACGATCCTACGAGCGAAAGTACTTTTAGCACGGCGAATTATCGGCGCGGGATACGCTGACGGTAAGAAAGAGGATGGCATTCAATGACTCCCGCCGCGTCTGACAGATTCACTCGTTCTACTTCTCTGTTACCCGAGTTCTGCGGTTTCGCGAAGCAAGGCATTACCGCATGTTCGGCTCATTTGACGAGATTATACCCACGGAGGTGCAGTATCGGTGAGAAACGCGTCATTTTGACGTAACCGGAATAAATTTTTTTTCCTAGCATTATATCTCACGTGACTTCGGTGTCGCGTCATCGTATATATGCATCGCAGGCAATACGATATCGTCAATTTCATTTTAGAATCGTACAAATGCAACTTTCGCTCAAACGCTCGACCACGCGAAATCAGCAACGAGTCACGTATATAAGGTGCGTGCCAGTATTTTTGTAAAGTGCACCTCGCTCGAGACTATATACTATCGTAACGTCTCGTTGCTGCGAGAGAGCCCGCTACGTTATATTTACAGCAAAAGTATATGGGAATCAAAGCCGGTCGTTATATCGTTTCCCGCGGAGCGATGGTCCGTGCGGTATGTTGGAGGCGTTTATGGGCGCGATTACCGCTTGCACGATATATCGCGCTCAAATACGTACTGACGTAACTGGAGTAGCCTTCTTTCCTTTCCTGTTAGCTCTCTCTTCGCGATCGAACGGCCGCGGAAGCGGCTGTCCGCATCTCTATATCTTATAACCGGTTGTTCCAAAAACCGATGTGAGTCAAAATTCAAGTGCAAAGTGGAATACGGGCACAGATTGTTAAAAAAACGTATTCACTTTTTAAATTTTAATAATTTGTTACTAATAGAGTTATAAACAGCGTTAGTAACTTAGAAATAGGTTTCCTAAAGCATCGCTGAAATATTTTCCAGTTACGATCTAATATCACGAGGCTTGTAATTTTCCGGAAGGAGTCGGCAACTCCTGACATTTACTCTGAGAGTTCATGGAAATCTTTAACGGAATACAAATGAGGACATAAGAACTCGTATTAAACTGGAGAAGAGTAGATTTACATACGTTCTCATATACGGCCGAAACGCACGCGGGAGACGAGATTTATTAGTCGCGTCTCGAGGGAACCGTCAGCGCGCCTGCTAACGTGTCCAGGCTGAAGAAAGACGATTCCATGACGAAGTAGGAAAGTATAATATACGCGATACGGAGAGAAGGCGTACCGAGAGAGGAGCTCGCTGCCGCCGGCACTTTTCTCCTGGGCTAATCGTTATGGAAAGTCTGCGGATAATATGGGACGTTGTGCACCGCGCGGAATCTCGTGTGGAATCGAAGCCGCCGCGCCGCCCGACGTCGATGTTGCTGAAGCGAGGTAAATTACACGTGCAAGCCGGGATGAGGCACGAGAGAGTTTATCAGTCGAATAAAAACACGCCCTCGAAATGTCGTTTCTACGTTAAAATTCGCATATAACAGACAAATGAGATGAGCAGAGATAAAAGATATCGAGTCGAAGATATTGTCGCGTGGTTCGCGCGACGTTTGACACGGGCACGAGGATATCGTAGTCGGAAGGAGATGGAACCGTCTTTGAGTCCGTAGAGAATTCCCCCGACCACTAACGATACCTTTTAGCTTAATCTTCTCGTTAAAAATCTCTCGCGGATAATATAGGACGCCGGTAGAGAATCTCGTAGGATTGCTTCGACAACATTGCTGAAGGAAAGGAGTGGTACACCCGAAGCGAGAGGATGGAAGAACGGTCGCTGCTGCCAGTGTAAAGGAGATTGGCGACCTAACGGGGAGAAAGAGCCGGGTGCAGGAGGAAACGAGAGCGAGAGAAGGGAATGTGCGCGAGCGAGAGCGGGATGGACGGGAGTCCGGTGGGTGAGACGGAGAACGACGAGAAGCGTGGTGCACGGAGCGAACGAGAGAAGAAGAGGGAAATGGTGTTCGTAATCAAAGGGGCAACCCGCGGCGCGGCTGCGGCGTGGAAGAAAGTCAGCCTACCGAGCGGCTCATCAGTCCGGCACGGTGCGGTGTCCCGAATGCACGTCGAACCATCGATTTTTCGTGTTCCCGTCACGTGATTCCGCTCACGAACATCGCCGTAGCGTCGCACGGACACGTTTGTTCACCGGGTACCGAGCGTAACCCACCGGTCGACTCCGATTAACTTCGGTGCATCGCTCGATTGGATCGGTGCAGCGCGGCGACGTGTGCGACGCGGCGAGATAGCGGTGTCTATCGCGTCCATTGGACATCCGCATTTCCGATAGAATCTGTAGTCTATACAGTACGAATATTCGAGAGAATTTTACTGGGAAAAAAAAAAAAGAAACGCGCGTATCAACTGTGAGCGGAGGGATTAAAAAAAAATCAAGTGGATTCGAGATCGATCTGCACGGAGTGTTACACGGACCGTGGCCAACGATCGGAGGGATTTAGCAATGCTCATGAATGGTACGTATCCGCGTTGATACTTATCTGAAAAATTGCGAAGAAATGGGAGAAGAGATCGTCGTGATCTCAAGGATATTGCTTTCTGTTCATTCTCATGTGCGGCTTTACTTGTTATAGCGGTGCTAACTGCACTTTGAAGAAAATGCGATGCGTTGCGAAAACAGACACGAGTGAAATATAAAACGATAGCCAGGCAAAATCCAGAGGGACACTCAGAACAGTACAGTACATATTATTTAAACATCAAACGTTCTTTAATGTCACGTTCGTAATAATTTTACGTTCATGATTACGTTTTGACATTTATCAGTTTTGACAGATTTTGAAATCTTATATTCTATTAAATACTGTGCAAAAGTTATATATATATGTATATATAGCGCACGCTATTCGGTATCAAAGGAATGTTCGTTTAATCCGTTTAGTAATATTCTATATGCATATACATTGTATGGCTTCCGTACGCGTCATAGGAGATATTACACAAACATCTTCAACAATTTTACCTGTACCGACTTCCTTCAAGAATAGCAAATTCCAAATTAGTTAAAAAAATATTTAGATAAAAATAGCACTATCTTATTGCTTTTTTGCCAAACTGATAAATAAGAGATCGATTCCAAATTTTGATTAATTAAGAAGCTATCTCTCGTGAAACCAATTTCAAATATAAGTTTACTACACTGAGAAAAAAATATTTAGATCTAAAAAAATATTCGTTAGGTGACTCCTAACAGCTTAATACACATATCTTAGAATTAGATATTTTTATTTAATTTAAATAAAAATATCTCATTTTAAATAAATATGGGTGTTATATTAAATAAATAGGCTATTAAAAGTCTAATAAATATTTTTTGGATCTAAATATTTTTTTCTTCAGTGTATAAATATGATATAAAGTTAAATACAATGACACTCTCGTGATTTTCTACCGGCGAAGTATTCCCTTATTCATAAATAATTATTCCCAATCCCGTGAAAGTTTTAGCACGTGCATAGTGCATATGCTACATTTCAGGTAGGAAGCGTTCGTTGCAAAAAAAAGAAATTGTTATGCATGCGCTGAACGTGATTATCTACCGATCGAAGTACGGGAAGGGAAGTTAGTGTTTCAACACCAAGGCAAAAGGCAATTACCATTTCTTACGGATAATGAACACGAAAGAAGATAAAATAATATAATTTCGTGTCAAATTATTAATTTTCTTGCGCCAAAGATATTTTCACGAGATAGTGTCGACGACGTCGTTAAAATATTTATCGAGCACATCGAAAATCAATGCAAAACGTTTCCGTATACAAGAGATCGCTTGATTATCCAGCGATCGCGCATTTTTTTCTCACAATTAAACCGTCGGCTCTCGTAAACACATGTCTTCCCACACGTGTGATACAGTAACACACAAATCGACAGTGTTGTATTTTTCTTCGTGCGGTGGCTGGCCTGATGAGTTGTCGCGTCGTCTCGAGATCGAAATACCGTTTTTCCCGAACAGCTGGAATTGTCGACGAGGTTTAAATAATGAATGGAACACGTTGTCAAAATCCACGAAGCGTGTCGGCGAGCGCCACAGTTGTTGCATAACGCGGCGCATTACGGCATTTATGGCTGGGAAAACGCGGAATTCCGAAGGCTCTCGTACAATCCCATTTAGCCCGAGCGCGTGTAGGCATTTCCGCGCGTATGTAGGTATAGCAGTCGTGGAATAACATTAATAGCCATCCGATGGATTTCAGTGGCTTCATAGACGTACCAATTTGTATTCATTAGAAGATTAGAACATTCGGCTTCGTGCCTTCCCTCGCGCCTAATTACCTCAATTATTCCATTCGGATATTAGTACGATGCGGCCGACGCGTCGACGTTGCACGCGAGCGCGGTTCGAATTTGTACGACATTAATCTCGTCTATCACAGTTGGTTTTACATTTGCATCCGATCCATCATACGAGACCTGCCGGGTGGCCGTAACGGTTACAGTTATATGCAAAAACCCTTTCCCACGCGAGCGAACGCAATGTATTAATTAAACGAAGAAAGCGCGATTCATTCCGCCCGTCTCTTGTAAAATTCTCCGAAATTATCCGAATATCGAGGGGGGAGCTATTATCTCGTTGAAATACGTTCAAGTATTCCAAGTATATAGAGCGAAGGATTAAATCGACGTAACTGCGAAGCCTGATTCGTCCTCGAATGTACGTGTTCGGGAATCGCGGTTGGTTCAGCTTCGCGTATATTTTTACGAGGTTTCGGTGTGCCCACGCTCGTTCGAGAACCAACGCGGCATATCGAGAATGTGGTGATCGGCCTGCGGCTACGAATTCCGTTACACGCACTTGTACGGGCTCCCTGGATCTCCCTGGACTCTGCTCACGACGAGATTTTTATGCTCCATCTGTCTTGCGATTTTCGACACCGATTTAACGATCGTCGTCCATTCCATTGGCGTCAAGTAAAAATGTTCAAATGATCAAATACGCATCTTATTTGGCGTGCATGTAATATAGCGAAAAATTTACCGTAAATTACCTGTATAATAATCGATGAAAGATATGAAGCGTATGTATGTCGACGCCCGCAGTGGTTCTTCCGTGGTCGCTGCGCGCATTGCAGATACAAGATCAATGAACAAATATTTCATAAAAGCAAATCACGTTCGCGCTTCCAACAAGAAAATTAATTCTGGAGTTGCACGCGACACGGAGAATCATATTGCCGATGCACTCGATTAATTTGAATCAATGGCGTAGAAAATTCCTTTGCAGATCTCGTATATAATCAATTAATGAGGATCTTGAATTCTTTGAATGCAAATACTGTTACTGCATATGCAGTAACGTTTTATCAGTAACGGATAATTATATGTTCGACATCCGCGCTGTTAAATGTCATGCAATTATATCAGGACGTGGCTTCTACTGTTTGAAAAAAATAATGAGAGACATAAGGTAAGTGTACCAATGCCGGGACACTTCTCTGGGAAAAAAAGACGGTTAAGCAACCCAGTTTGGGGCCCACGATTAGTAATCAAATTATTTGGATTCGTAACCCTAACAAACCCTGCGTAACTAAAAATTGTAATTAGCTATTCTTATAGCTGTTTCAAAAATTTTTAAGTTATATTAGTAAGTTATATTTTTAAGTTATACTAGTCAATTCTCTTAATTAGTTCTGTCGATATTCAGTTATGCAAAAATAATTTTCACTTAAGGGGCACTAAGCAAATGTTGGTGCGGGACAACCGGTCAAAATTTCTCCCCGAGTTGAGACCTATGTCTGGGCATCTTTATCATCTTAGTTTATAAATAAGTATAACACGAATTAAAAACAAATATAAAACTATAATACAAGAAAAATATTTTTATCTTTGATTCTTTGACTTTAATTCGCGTTATAACTCATTTAAGGACTAAAATGATAAAAATGTCCAGACATAGGTACGTGTCCAGGCATTGGTACATTTACCTTAATATGCAAAAAAAATGAAAATCGAATCTAGAATGCATTTGGCGATCGTCATCGGAACCTTCGCGATCAGCTGACTGCTCGACAGTGACCCCGGGGGTCAATCTACTTTCTACTTCTCACATTCTGCCGAGATCAGAGGTGATACTGGCGACGGGGGAGGGGGGACTATGCACGATGCCTTCGAGTGGAAGCGGACATACTTTCACGGCGACGGACGGTATACATATCGTTAAATTATCGAGATGCTGATGGGTGAAAACGGATGGAGGCGGTGCGCGTTGTTCACCTGCCCGCGAGAGAAAAATAAGAAGGAAGATTTATTAGTCGGAATGCCTTGGACAGTCTCCACGGCTCGGAGGAATGTTTATGACAACCGGGGAGCCGCGTCGCGAAAAGTTCGCGACATGGAAAATTTATCTTTGTAATTTGCCGACGCTTGAGGTATCTAACAGTGCGATGAAAGTAAGCGATAAAAAAAACATATTCGATCGAAAGCCATTCGAGATTTCCAAGAATTCCTGTCTTTAAATATTTAAAGTAATATAAAACTTTAGGGTGATTGAATTGCGATGAAAACCTGCAAGAAGGAGAGAAAGAGAAACACTCGAACGGCCATCACTAATCGCATAACGTTGATGCAGATGTAATTTTCGGAGCACTCGCCGTCGAAAAACGGTGGAATAAAATTCCACTCGAGCGGAGGTCAATCGTGACGAAACAAATCTCAAGTATAACAGAGAATACGAGTTACAGTTAGCGCTTCACCGAGTAGACACAAATGTCTCGCGTCGGAATGTAATTTATATCGACACGTGCTTTGTTTGTTTATAATTCGTCTCGCCGCTATCTATGTGTAATAGCGTAATCGGTAAAACGAGCAGGTACGACGAGAACATGAAAGTTCCATATTAAGTTGGTCACGCGACTACACCACACCGGTATGCAGTTGCTTAATGATCGTCCGCGATCCTCGTGGCACTATGTGACACGGTTCGTCTACCGGCGGCGCAGCGTCTGTTCACTGATTCCGCATTACGAGTAAATGGACGGGATTAGAAAATAACCATCTGGCAGCGACGAGAAACATTACAAATTTTCATAGACAAGTGCTCAAATTTCCGGCTTTGTCGCAATCTGCGAATGATGGTCGATTGGGGTGCAGAGCGTTTTGTTGATTTCTGCTCCGAGACACATTATAAATAATTCTTTACGATTCTAAACAGGTTTACGCCCGATAAGAACCTGTCTCCCGATTACGCCACAGACTATCGCAGAATTGTCCAACAATGATTTGATTTATTTTCAGGGTGTGGCCAGTATTCCAGTGGAGCGTAAAGATCAACGAACTTGCCATGAATTAAGATCAATCCGAAAAATGGACGTCGCCAAGGGCACAACGGAGGACTTCGTGACGGTGGTCAGCGTCGGCAGTCAGCCGACGTCGGAAAATTTCGTCACCGTCCTGTCGATCGGCAATCGGAAGAAAGACGATGAACAATCGTCTGCGGCGGCGAGCAAGAGCGTGTCGAACGGTATGGAGGGGCATCTCGAGGAAGAAGTCGAGGTTTTCAGATTGCCCGGGGAACGTTTGGGATTCGGACTCAAATTCGAAGGCGGTAACAAGACCGCCGAGAGAGTCAGAAGACTGTTCGTGCAGAGCTGCGCGGAGCAAAGTCCAGCCAGCAGAGCGAAATGTTCGTGGGGCACCTTAGGCGAGGGAGACGAGGTAATGACGATACTCCGAAATGCTAAGAATTCTGCATACCTCTGGCTAGCCACACTTATTTTATTTTCGGATCCTTAATTCGCCACACTCCGGTCCGTGAGACCGCTCGATTTTGTCCCATTGTTATTTTCATTCTAATTAATATTTTAAGCCTGTAATGTAGGAATTGGAAATACCGAGTTTGAATAAGATGTTTGTAATAATATCATTTTCATTCTAATTAATATTTTAAGCTTGTAATGTAGGAATTGGAAATACAGAGTCTGAATGAGATGTTTGCGATAAAATATCAAGTGAAGAAAGTGATTTTAGTTTAAACTGAACTTATTATTAGCAAACGAGAAAATTACGTTGTTAATAAGCTAGGGTTAAGATTTTCTTTAGATTTTAGATTTTCTCGAGAAAAAAGATGCACGCGAGTGATATTGCTTTCTTGATTTTGTTTCCCGTGCGTTAACACGAGTTTAATAACATTTCTGCTTTCGCTGACATGATATTTTGTGCTGTAATGCGCACGATAGTTTCAAGAAAGTAACATTCATGAACATGTATGATTTCATTCAGTCTTAACGGCACGTGAAATCTTTCGCGCGTCGTTACGAGTCGCTTTCAGTTACGGAACCGAACAAGTTTCTTTCTGTAATGGATAAAGATTACAATGGTCGAACGGTAGATTCCTATATTGATATTCAATGTCGGTGTAATGACTGACATATAATTATTTGCACGCATCGAACCGCGACGTTTGCATCTGTAATGTCGGCGTAATGTCGGCAGTTGAATGAACGAGAGGAAAAAAAAAGAGAGAAGCAGCAGAGATCTCTCTCGCATATTTAAATTCAATACGACGACGTATATATTCAACATCACCGCTGAAGAAAAGTCAACTTCAAATTTATCAGAGTGTTTGCCAATAAAATGAAAATCGTGAGTTGCGAGACAGCGATATTGATGTGTACAGCGTAATTTTTATGTCGCGGAACAGCTGCAAAATAAGACGGGGCAGACGCACTCTCTTTGGCTCCCACGGTGCACTTCGCCGTCTATGATTTTCAAGACCTACTTCCTTCCTAATGATCCCTCAAGAAAGGTTTCCTCTCACCTCCGCGTTGCTTGTTTACATTGCGAATTATCGGGCGAGCTCTTCCCCGCGCCGCGGCCGCTTCCTCGTACTCGACAATTTACGTTACATCTCTTGCAGGTACTTTCGATCGACGGTATACCAGTAACACACATGACCCGATTGGATTGCGTGAGAAGATTGAAGGAGTCGCAATTGGTCATCAGGCTGATGGTCAGGTGTCGCGGCGCTCTGAGACCGGAAGTGGTGAGCGCCGAGAGAAAGATCGAGAGAAGCAAAGTGCCTCCGGAATTGCCCACGGCACCGCCGCCTGTACCGCCGAGGAAGCTGAGACAGCCCCGAGGACCCGCGGACGGCGAGGCGAATCCCAGTCCTATCAAGAAATTATGGGACAATTCAAAATTGCAGAACGGATTGCAGAATGGATCGCAAAATGGCGCGCAAAACGGCTCGATTTCCCAAGTCGGATTGCAGTGCGTGACCAAGATAAGCTCGTACGAGAATTGCGAGTCCTCGCCGAGAAGCGTCAACGGATCGAGCCAGGAAAGCCCGAAGGAATCGCCGAAGGACCGCTCGCCGGAGTTCGCCAAGTCCAAGCAGGTTGTAATCGTGATAGGGGAAAAAAAAGTAGATTGAAAATATTTAAAAATTCTATTCCGAATTAAAAGCTCTGACTGAAACGAGACCTCTTTATGTTTGTAGGAACCGCCGGAAGCGATGGTTTATCTGGATGCGCGATCACAATGCGGCTCTACGCATGGCAGCACGTCCGACGATACCGGTAGCTCAATGTCCACCGTGGTGGACAGATTCTCGACGTCCGATCGCGTGTCAACCATCTCGACGACGTCGACGGCGTCGACCGCCGGGTCCGAGCAGCCGAGCGACGCCTCGGGCATCGAGCGGGACCCGGACCGATCGTCCGATCGTGACGTGCTGCTGTCTCGGGCGATCTGCCCGCTCGAGCATCTCGAGCGGGACTTCACGAATCCGCCCGATTACCTGCTTCGCCGTCTCGCCAGTTCCGAGGCGGTGACGCACGTGGAGTCGCGGGGCGAAGTCGAGCGGATTACGGCGGTCGTTGCACCGAACACGGTGCTGATCGAGGAAACGATCACTCTACAGCCGCCGCTCAGCTTTCAGGACGCCCCGCTGAGTTACGGACACGAGGCCAGGCCGGATCTCTTCTACACCGCCGACCTGGCCGCCGACTCGACGACGCATTTCAGGCCAATTAAGGACGACGTGGAGCTCGTGGAGCGTGTCAACGGCAACCACGAGGAATTCCGTGACGCGACCCGGTGCGTTTCCGGCACCGGGAGAAACAGCAGCGACAGCTCGTCCCCGCCGCCGTTGCCGGCTAGAAATCACGTTAATAGGATCTGCGTGAACCAGACGCAGACGAGCGAATCTGGAAACGAGGCGCGTCCTCCGCGAATCCCCGCAACGGTACCTGTCTCCGTCGAAAGGGAACTTTCGGAAGCTCCTCTGTTACCGCCAAAACCGTTGCCGCGAAAAGACGTTAAGGCCAGACGGAAGAGACCTCCGCCGCCTCCACCGCCGATTATAATACCACGAAGAGAAATTAAACCTTCGACGCCGATCGACTCTAATCATGTAACGGAAAAAGAAAACAAGAATCTTTCGCAAGTTAAAAGCACCGAATGCGTTCGATCAGAAGTGTGCGATTTATCACCGAATAAAAATAACATTCTTGACGAAAAGAGTCGAAGAATTGAAAGTACAGATGGAAGTCTCGATAAAGAATCTAACATGAAGAACGTTTCTTTCGATAACGAGAAAGACAAAGCTGCAAGTTCGGAAGAAAACGCCCAAACGAACAAAGTCCTTGAGATTATCGAAATCAGAGTGGCCAAAGGTTTGCAGGCTGATCAAAAGGAGGAAGTTGGAAAAAATAAATCGAATAATGCAACAGAAACTATAAATAGCAAACAAATTAAAGTTAAAGATGAAGTAACTGATAGAAACGAACAAGATCAACCTGCGAATAATTCGAGTAATGTTCTACCGGAGCATCAAAACTCGGACTTAGAATCAACCGATAAACAAATTGACGAATCAAACAATGAAAAGGAAAGACAGAAAAACTCGGAAAGTTGTTATCAAGAAGTAACTAGGACAAATCAGGATACTATTGAGGAAGTGTTTCCATCGAACGAGGAAAGTGCCTCACCGATTAATAACACTACGACGCAAGAAAGCGAGGACGACGAGACTTATCAATCGCTCGACGTGATAAACGACGACATAAAAAATCCGGAAATGAATCAAATGATAGAGAACGAGGAAATTATGGAGGAAGACGACACCACCGACGAAAGCGACGACGGCGACTATTACTGGCAAAGTAATCTCGCTACCATCGGCGAGGAGGAGGAAACTTCCTTGGAATACGTAAATGCGTAAGTTTACAATTGTACATTTCAACAGTAACAAGGATATTATTATTCAACAGGGGCTGCAGTCATTAAAAGAGATTGTGATAACGGAGGAATTTAGTGATTTACGCCCACTTTCACTACTTCGCATTTCAATTCTTACGTCGAAATGCAATTTATTGCGTATCGCTAATTTATTACGCAATTAAACAGCAATTACATAATATATTGTGTAAAATTAATTATAATGACTCTGCTTATTCCGAATAAGGTATGCAATTAGCCGCGAGATAAAACCGCTTGGGAATTGTGTCGAGGAACAGATTACTATAGAACTCGAGTTGATGCAGCGCGCGCCACGCAACGAATGAACTTTAAAAAGAAATTAATTCACTTTCTTTATGGATATGGGTTACCTGCCGTGCGCGCGGCACACGGAGAAAAGGTTAATTGACCGTTCTAAGAATAGAAAAGAGGGTTGTCGATTTACTGAGAATCGAACAGTCGTTCGACTCGGCCGTCCCACGAGGTGAACGCCTCCATGCAAATGCTCGACATTTGCTTATTGCTTTGAAAAGCGATCTCTCCTTCTTTGCATGACGCTGCAATCGCCTCTCAAACCATTCGAACAGCGATTGCCGTTTATTAAATCTTTTAATAGGTTTTTGTTGAAACGCGTTGGACGCGTGGAACAAGTTATATAATTACTTAATTATTTAGGTATCTAAAATTTATTTTTACATTTTTTTACATCACAATCAGTGATAAGACAAAAAGACGCAGCTATTTCTCTTTCAAGTAACCAGGAAAAAATATCTTCTCTGACCTGTTACAGCAACGCGGATATGAATATTTCCAGCGAGCTGACGGTGGAGCCGGAAGAATCGCCATCGCCTCTTGCGATCAAGAAAGAAGCGTTCGTTAAAAACGGTAAGCCCGATTAATACGCTAATTAAACTTTTAATTAA